GAATCCCTCGGAATCATTAAAATGTTAAAACGTAGGTATACAACGCTGAGATCGAAAGCTTAAATTCAAAAAGATTTTTGGGAATTACAAACCAGGATAGTGTACGGTAATGTAAAACCCCAATAAAATAGGTTTTTCTCTCCGATCTATCATATAATAAATACCTACACCAGCATATCAGCTATAAAAATCCTCATTGATATAATTTTTCCACATACCCGCAACAGTTGCAACATCGCATCAATAAATGAATTCCTCCATATTTTAAAAAGAACAAATCCTAAATGTAATACACTAGCGTCGCTCGATGATGAAAATCTTGTTAGCAATTTCCCAGTTGAAGCAACAATCAACATAATTCGTTACTGCATCTACAAACACCAGTCAATCCTTCATACAAAACTTCGACTAGCAAATTTTCAGAAACTACGACTCGCCTGTCGCACGAAAGGTCGATTCTATGATTATAATGGCAACACTTACATCTAGTGCGACAACCGCATTCTACACATTCTCCTTCCAAGAACAGATACGAACAAGGGAAGTAAGCGAGAACGTTATATATAGTGTATATGCGGGACAAAAGTGAAGGTCAGTTTGTACTAAGCGGCTTCACTCTGCATACTTTAGCGCCGTTATCATAGCAACAGTCCTGATATTTTTTGATCAAAACTTAGATAGATAGATAGATGAGGGAGAGATAGATCTATGTATAGATAACTGAATTCGCAGTCCAGAAGATACAGAGAATTTACATACAGTCGAAGCATGGTTTCCTGCCCCGTGCACGTCAACCCATGTATCGCACTTGCATTCTTCATTTCACTCGCCGTTGCGCATGGACATTCATCTTTATTTTTTCCTTTTCATTTTAGTAACGTACTTACTTATTCTCGCTTTCCTTTCTTAATCACACGCTTGCCTGCGTCTCGTTCGCATCATCACGAGAACCACAAACCCACACGAACATTTCCCTTTCGATTGCTTGATGCTGAAGGCTGTCATCTCCACAAACTACGCTGTATCTTTTCGTCCGCATTAAATAACATATTAATCTCTATCAGAGCCGAGGACACATCGATTTCCTGCTTGGCAATGTTACACGGGACCCTAAATACTCATTCTTTACAACAATGCCTTGACTGTTAACATTAAGGATCGCTGTAAGTGTTTATATTCCTGGAGCACACGTTCGTCATACAATTTTTATTTTTATATTTACAGATCCTTAAAGTTTGGATACTGATGATCAAAACAGTAATGGGTTTACATAATTAACACAAGTACGGCCGAGAGCGGGAAGCATGTAATTTGGACAGCGCACAGCCTCCAAATACCATCCCCAGTCTAGAAGGAAACCTTGTAGGTTTTGCCTCATTAACGTCTCAGAGAACGGAAGGAGTAACCTCAACATCCCCGTTGCAAAAGGGACCGGCAAGCTATGATGCTATTCAGCCTTGAATATCAACACCAAACACAATTTTTATATGGAGGGGAGTTGCTAGCACAGCGGTGTAAAATGCGCAAACTGAATAAACCAATGAATATTAGGTGAAATTTTTTTTTTTAATTACTAATTAGCAATATGATCCGGTGTTGCCCGTGCTTGATTCAAAAATCGTACGACTCATACAGCAATCTCTATCGCTTGACTTAAAATATTTTTGCCCTTCCTTGCCTTTAAAGGAGTGCCCTTTGCCGTACTGATGTTACTACATGCCTTACTTCTTGTCTATCTCACACTGCGAATTTTTTCTAAGCTCTATACTAAACATTAAATCTGTTACGAAAAAAGAACTAAACAAAATGAACACAAAACGATCACCTTTAAAAAAGGACTCCTAACTGGAAGAACCGAATGAAAAAAGAATGTTAACATCAAACACTTTTTCATACAAAACCCAGTTCTGCGGAATCAGGATCAACGTTGAGTTTAAGCAAGCGAATGAACCAATTGGAGTAAAGTACCATGCAGGTTTAAATTTTTCCCACTTGTGACGAATGCAGCTATCGATTTTTTTTTGCATGCTAGTTAACATTCGTGTCAGACATCTGTTGGCTCTCACGCTGGCCAATAGAATCATCCTGCCTATTCGGGGCAGCCAGCTATTGGATCTCTTTCTGGCCAGTACAAAATGGCCGCAAAGTACATGAAAGCTGCCGTAGAAGCATGAAAAAATCGATTATTTCCACTATCGATGAGAGTTGGGAAATGCAAATTGGCCTTCCTACTAACTAGGAGTATGTGCATGTAAATTTTGGTGCAAATCCGTCGAAAATTGCGGCCGTGCATTCGTTACACACATGCACACACACAAACACACATCCTGCCTTTTATAGATAGATATTTTCGATTCGTATTTCTGGATCCATTGCTCATGTGTAAGAGAGATTTAATTCTTATTTTATTTGAGTACTGTTTAGTTTTTGCTCGTACGTTTCCACTGAGTATAAATACACGCTACCCAACCCAGCTCAGGGGAAACGGGCGAGAAGTAACTGACTACTAAATAACGTAAGAATGAGATATTCCTAGACATGAGCAGTGGGACGAGAACGGTCTATCCCCATAGATTAAATAAAGACTTCAATTCGGAATTCTATGTAGATTATCCAGATCGGTATACACCTGAGGAAGGCCGGAGGGCACAACTGCCGAAACGTTGTCATGAAAACAAAAAGAAAGAGAAACAGAATAGTCTGAATATAAACAGCGTAAATAAGCATATCACCTAATCCCAGAAATTCAAACTAAAAATTAGTCATTGCTGGTTTTTTTTTGTGACGCACGGTGGCCGTTAAGTATAACTCAAAACTTCAATGTTAAGATAAAACACTATTTAATTACAACCGTAAGTAAATATTTAACAAGAACAAGAAGTAAAAGTCAACCAAAGATAATCATTTCAGTGATTACATTGTTAGTAGCGCGGCTCGGCTTAACGTCCGGGAAATAATTCACACTAATTCGACTGGATAGTTACACTCAATACTCACTCAATAATAACTCAGCCAGTAGCTAGATACCGCTATTTATACGCCTGGCGGAAAACATATATTAATAAATCCAGAGTGTCACGTTCGAACCTCGGCGTTGCTAGTTACTTATTTTCTTTCTATTTGACACTTTTGTAGTGTGACTTACAAATATGACGCTAAGGAAACTTAAGAATACACCGACATAACATCACCCCTGAACTTGGGCCTCGGGTCCCCATAAGAAGATACACGTGTACGTATAGGCACAATCGCTTATCATATATGGTGTATATGCGTTCATGAATGTTTAATAAAGAGCGTGGGATCTCTAATTACATTTTATTTTCCTTTCTGTACGTCATTTGGATATCTCTGTTGCGTGATTTCAAACATTTATGCCAACAAATTCAGAAATTAACCAACAAATAACTGACGGCATTTCACTTGTTTCCAAATCCGTTATATCGATCTTATCTTCAGGATAGCATTTTTTTCTTTCTTACTTTTTTTTTTTTTTTTTTTTATAATTTACATTTTAATGCAAATTACACAGTTTATATTTGGGAGCTCCTTTTTAAATGCTTGTCCTTTTGAATTATTTTTCAAAAAATGTTATTATGCTGCCTGTCTTTCTTTTCCCGTTTTTTTTTTTTTTCCTATTTTTTTAAAATGTGAAATTCGAAGATTTGGCAAAGCCGGAATGCAACAAATGTCATTTTCAATCTTTTCTTTGCATTTCTGTCATTAATTTGCATCTGGGGGGGGTCATCTTTTCCTCCTTTATTTCATGGGATTACGCCAATGGACTTTGGGTTGTTTTGTTTTCTCTCATCTTTATTTGTTATATATATATATATATATATATATATATAATATAATATAATATATCTATATATATATATATTTATACGTTTACACAAACACACATTTATTTATATATATATATATATATATATATATATATATATATATATATATATATAACTTCAGCAAGTATTTATTTATGTAAATATTTGTTCTTCTTTCATTTTGTCTATTTCAGCGTTCCTTTAATTTATTTACATGCGCCTTTAGTCTTTCCAACGAGATGTTTATTACATTTTTCTTCTTGCCCCGAACATCGGTTTACGTCTTCGATTCTGATTTGTTGATTCTATCTATTTCACTTTTACTTTTTATTTATTTATTTACTTTTAATACTTCAAGCGCTTTACAATCAGTAATTGCTTTTCTCATTATATTCACATTCCCTGGCACATATTTTTAGGGTCTAAAAACAATGATTCTTTGATATATAAGGGGTGTGTCTGACAGTAACGGGACTAGTGTCACAAACAATTTATTTCAATTCCAGGCAACAAACTACATAGTTACCCCTTCAAAGTACCCCCTTGAATCTAATGCACTGTATCACCCTTCTCTTTCACGCTTCTCTACACTGATGAAAGGATTCTTGTTGGAGGTCCCTTAGTTTCGTCGTTAGCGCTATCTAGATGGCATGCACGCCATCAAAATAGATCCCATTTATGATCTTCTAGAGTTTTCACACGAATCAAGATCACGTGAATAAGATTGCTCCAGTACGGCGATGTTTTTCTAGGGCAGTAACAGTCGGATGCTCAGGGAAATTTGTGCAGGTACTTGTCGTGGTAAAGCAGCCAAGATTTGTCCTGCCATAACTCTCGCATGTGAAAAAAAAAATGCAACGATTGCAGAAAGCCAATATATAATCCCAAGATATCTTGTTAAATGATAAAGCAATCCATTTATCCTTCTTTCATCCACAGCTCACACAGTGTACCCAGTCCCGTTAATTTTCAGACTGGCCTCGTATTTCATACGCATTGGTTACTTAGACGTGGTGTAATGGTTAGCAAGCTTATCTCGCTAGATTAATTACGGCTGAGTAGTCAGTTTGATCCTCACTGGGTGTTTCATATTTTCGGCGACAGGCCACATCTATCGTATGCATAATAAACACTGCATTTTGTACGAATGCATTCAACTTCATTTCAAGATTTACGACAAAATCATGCTTTTAACAACGGTCCCCGTACGAACACTGAAATTAAGCAATGACGAACCTTGTCACTACCTAGATGGGTGACCTCTTGGGAATACCAGGTGATGCAAGGTTGGATGGGCATGTAGGGTAGTGGATAATTGCTCGGAATTAATAATCGGTGAGCTGAGTTCCAATTCCGGTTGGGTTCATTATATTCAATTACGCTAGAGAAAGTTAAGAATTTAGTTATTCTCCTCCCTCGGCTATGGGTTAATTAGTAAAACTTGTATCACTAAATCATTATATCCAAACAAAATTTTTACACTCTAAAAATATTTTCTGGCTTTAAATTGATAATCCGTAGGGAACGATTCAATCAATCAACTTCATTTCAGTCGATATGTTCTCTTGTCTTTCTGACGTAAATTTTATTCCCCCTCCCACTTGTAAATCACTCAGGATATATTTTTTTTTTTTTTATCAAGTAAAAATCTAAAATTTTCTGTTCTAAAATTCTCCAAATGTTTTACTTTTTGTTTTTCTTCAGGACATTAACTTTGACCTACGCAAATTTTTGATCCGATTCTTTCTGACAAGTATTTTGTTTTTAATTTTAAAGCAAATTACAATATATTATTATAAACTGTAGACCTTATTTAATAAGGTCTACAGCTTATCATGACATACGTTACCCACATCAAATTACAAAATAGGAGACCCTATAATAAGGCATATATTAAGGTCTACAACTTTGTAATTTGATTTTTGTTTAATGTAAAGGATAACAACGCGAGAAGTGGAATCGCCTAGATGATTTTAAATTCTGTGCTTGTCTTTTGCGTTCCCTTTCGCATACATACCCCTATAAAAGGCGTAAATCGGCCACTTCGATCTATGGGTTAAATAGCATGAGTTCCCTAAATCTTAGATGCCAAGCATTCTTAGAATTGATACTTACACTTTCAAACTATGGAAATGTGAAAGGGAAACCACTCCACTACCGTTCCCTAAAATGCATAATGCACATATAATACGAAAAGGGATGTTGTGAAGAGGAAAAACTGTCTACATACTTAAGAGGCATGACATGTTAAATTCATACGTAAATACGTGCGTGCGAGAAAATATTCAGGGAACATAGATAGAAAAAGGGTCAGCGCGTTGACAGCGCAACAATGAAAAAAAATATTCGCTACACAATCCAACATTGAATACAGCAACCAAATGCGTACGTATGCACACAACAACACATATATACGTATATATACCAAGTCCCATACTGTTAATATATGTTTATGTCTGTGTGAGTTCCTCTGGGTGAGCGTGCGTGTGTATGTGCCTGCGTACGTGTATGTATGTTTGCGTAAGTATGAGTGGCGTCCCGACGACAATTTTTCCTCCCACTTCTATAAAAACACTGATATACGCAACCCTATACATATCCAAAATTTAAAAATGAATCAGTTTGTCTGACGGTCGCAAAAGCGTAAAACCCAGTGTAACAAACTCACATCAATCCAAGTAAACACATATATATATATACATATATATATATATATATATATATATATATATATAGAGAGAGAGAGAGAGAGAGAGAGAGAGAGAGCGAGCGAGAGAGAGAGAGAGATTCAAGAAAGAAATTCGGATTACCAACACACAAAGAGAGAATGTCTCATATCGAGAATATTTAACATTGAACATAAGGAAAAAAATAATTATTTTTAATAATATGTGGAAATCTCCGCTTTTACCTGAAGACGGTCGCGAGACCAGAAACACGTGTCGTAAAATTATGTAAAACAAAGCATAATATTTTTTTCTAAATAAATCCACATTACAACCAAAAACGTTTGCGGCACCTCTCTTCTCTTCTTTTTAATATATATACTTTTCTCTCGTTGGAACCACTACAACATATTTCTTTTATATATATCTATATATATATATATATATATATATATATATATATATATATATATATATATATCAAATATATATATATATATATATATATATATATATATATATATTGAAAAATAAAAAAAAAAAAATTGAAGAGTTAAAATCTTCACATACACTCTGTTGTATATTAATATTCTTTCGTTTTTTTTTTTATTATTTCATTTAAATTCCCTGACTACTTACGACCAAAATGGCCATCATCAGGAGAAAATGTTTTCTGCTTGCTAGTAGCAGTGAACTACAGAAATGAATGTCTTGATCGAGAAAATGAACTTTTGTTTGTAGTTTTCATTTCTTTTTAACATGAATTTTGGTCTGGTCTTGTGTTGATCAGACAGTCTCTTTTAAGCTGTTTTTTTTTTTTAGATAAGAGCTGCTTGGATTCATGTTGCTCTGAATTCCCTTTGTCATTTTGACAGTTTTATTGGTTCCTGTAAAGGGGATGTGTCTCTGTTAAGTGTGTGTGTTATTTGGTTCATAGGGAGTGAGTGTGTATATTACTATGGGTGTGTGTTATCATTTGGTTCATTAGGAAGTGAGTGAGTATGATGTGTGTAAGTGTGTATATTCATGCGGGTGTGTGTATAAGTGTGAGGCCTCAACATCTCCATAAGCATATCTGTCTTGTGAAGGTGAGAAATGTGAGTAGGTCCTGATTTGTGGGGTTATATCCTAATACTATCTATATTGTTAAATTTGTGATTAATTTGTGATATATATATATATATATATATATATATATATATATATATATATATATATATATATATATATATATATATATATATTCAGTTTGATTTTTTTTTTTTTTTTTTCAAAACATGAGGAAATCTAAATTCTATGATATATCTTGGCCATTATATAACTGACTTCAGGATGATTTTAAATTACCAATTGCAAGAACACAATCATTTTTGACATCACAAATCTTTAAATTGGGCGACTTTATTTAAAAGAGTCTCTGAAAATCAGAAAGAGTCTATGTTTTACTTAGTGAAATTTATGTCCAAATTGATCACGGAATTAATTTTGTTTGGGGGAAACTTTTGAGTGATAAGCAGAAACAATTTTGGACATCATGTTTCGAACCAAAATGTTTCTTTAAGCATATCTCAATTGCCAAATCAGAGGATATTTTCACTCTGGGAAAAATGTCCATATATTATTAATGCAAACAAGAAATTAATTGGCCAAATAATTGCAATTGAATTTTACAATCAATCTTTTTACAAAATATGACACTGTTTCTGATAAACCTTCGGCAGCTAAATAATTGGATTACCTGATGTATCTTCTCCGTGTCATTTCAGGACAAAAGCGATAGTAGAAAAATGTCAAAGTTGAAAGGTCAATTTGCTTAGCAGTCGGAATACTCCCATGTAGCAAATCAGTAGAGACACATGTTCGTCGTCATTTAAAACAGCTCTGATATCAGACTACAACTACAGCCATAATTATAACTTGTCCATTATTAAATAGATACTATACTGCAGAAACAGTTCATTTCATTGACATTGTCATTTTAAATAATTGTCAGCGGTCAAAAGCGTATATTGTAATATAAAGAAAAATATTCTACTGAAAAAAAACTGAAAAAAAATGATATCGGATTCAGATGATGAACGTCTGACATTTTCTTATTTTTGAAAAATGGCAAAATTAATGTGAGCAAAGAAAAAAAAAGAGTTAAATCCTTTAAAAGGGACACCGACATCAAACATGGATGCAATTTAATTGTTGTCCTTCGACATGTGGTATGCAGGGTATTTAATTTTCTTGAATTTAAAATAAAAGAGAGGAACCTCGGCTCACGAATTTAATTCGTTCTTGAAGGCCGTTCGTAACCCGAAATGTTCGTAAACCAAAATGTTTTAAACCGAAACTATTTTTCCAATAGGAATCAATATAGAGAAAAAATATTACAGTACAATGAAATAGGAAATGAAAAGCACGGCACAATACACGAATGTATACAACACGGCGGTCGACTTATTTCGTTCGGGTTAACTCGGTTCAGTTATGTTGTTCGATAACCGAGGCATTTTCATCTTGAATTTTCTGTTCGTAAACCGATTTGTTCAACATGTGAGACGTTCGACAACCGAGGTTCCTCTGTATTTAGAAAATGAATATGAAAAATTAAGACAACGTTTTGGCCATGAGTATTTTTATACAGTGAAAAATATTTATTCCAAAATTGCATCCTGAAAAAAATGTTCTTTTTTTAAATGTTGATATTAAAAAATACAATTTTCATCTAGCCTATGATTTTTCAAAATGTAGATACGGGTTGGATGAAATGCCATGCAAAACAGTTGATAACTTACCAGGTCTTAATACTAGGATCTCTTAACATGTCAACATTGTATATAGAAAAAAGAGTTCCAAATATGTAATGCTTATACAACATCTTCTTTTCATGAATATGAATTTTGTAATGCTTATTAAAAAATAAATAGTTTGTAGTAATTTTAAAATTCAAGATGAAAAAAAAAACGCCGGGTGTTATATTGTCAAATGACAGGGGTGTATATTGTCAAATGACAGGGGTGTATATTGTCAAATTGTGAACCATAACAATTTATCAAAAACTATTGTTTTTTTTTGTTGTGTTTTTTAAATTCTCCTAAAAACCAGCACTGTCAGCATTGAAATTATATAAAAATTGTATTCATAAAATGTTTGTACACTTCCATTCTACAATTCATGCTATGTTTTACTGTTAAACATGCGTTAGTGATATCGGGTATTTTGTTAACCCAACCATTTAAAGTACTCATAATTCCTAGTTGACAACTAGTTTCTTTCACTCCTTCCCACTACTCCGCTGACTCACTGAGTGTGTGTAGCACACGGCGTGGCGCAATTTTAGCTTATTTGTCCTGGAAGGCAGACGTCAGGGAACTATCCATTTTCGGAAATCTGAGGGTAATAACGCAGGATTATGATTCATTTTTTTCAATTACTAAATATATGTTCATAAATTTCTAATACAGAAACATCCATTCAGATAATCATGTACCAGCTAATTCTTATTTTCAACCCTCGTATATATAATGAATTTTTTTAATAAATCAAATTATCCTGTTAATTTTTTCTTTCTGTTTATGCATATTGATTTAAATCATTATTAAAATCACATATACCGTTACTATCTATTAGCT